CACTGCCACCTCCGACCAAGATCCTCCTCCAGGCAGTAATATAATATCCAATACCCCTCACACAATGGACTCAGGCTCAGAGCGATTCATATAAAACGATAAAACAGACCTCCATAGTGCAACAACGTTTTATTAAGCTAATCCAATGCAGTGGAACATTAAACTCACATGTCCTCACGATTTGACAAGCAGTTTCCCATATACTATGGGTATATACAGGAGTCCCAAGATGGCGTCCGAACCCGGAACCGGAAGTACGTCACCCCTACGTCGACGCGTTGCGCCACTGTCACGTGGCTTCATCAGATCCATCAGATCCTGATGAAGCCACGTGACAGTGGCGCAACGCGTCGACGTAGGGGTGACGTACTTCCGGTTCCGGGTTCGGACGCCATCTTGGGACTCCTGTATATACCCATAGTATATGGGAAACTGCTTGTCAAATCGTGAGGACATGTGAGTTTAATGTTCCACTGCATTGGATTAGCTTAATAAAACGTTGTTGCACTATGGAGGTCTGTTTTATCATTTTATATGAATCGCTCTGAGCCTGAGTCCATTGTGTGAGGGGTATTGGATATTATTTACTGCCTGGAGGAGGATCTTGGTCGGAGGTGGCAGTGGAGGAGAGGTTTACCTGGCAAAGTGGAATATTGGAGAGGTACTTACTGCCTGGTCGGTGGAGGCAGTGGAGGACATCTAACAGAGAGAGATATATATAAAAAAAGCTCTGTGACCCGCAAGGGTCGAATGTGGAAGGTGAGGGGGCATTTCTGCTATTGAGGGGAGTCACGTCAAGATTTACACGAAGAGCACTATTTGCAGCATGGAGTGACATTATTTTGAACACTTTGCCATTAATTTTCACAGTGTGGCATCACTTTTTAATTTAATCATTGTATTTCACTTTTTGCACAGTTTAAGAGATATAAGTTTTCACTATATCACCAGGGATATATATTCGTTATGTGTATGGAGATATTGCACTAGTTCTATATAATATTTATTATTTGTATTATTGAGAGATATGATTTGTGTATTTCACTAGGGAATTATAAGTTGAGCGCTTCACCACTTGTATGATTTGATTTCACACATCTTGCGGTATAAAGAACAGGTGATAGCAGCCTACTCACTAGGTTCTGTGGAGCGCAGGGGGGATTTTTGTATTGTATTTATACAATGCACACTCTGGTCTCTTGGTGCTCAACCTGAGGGCTAGAGGCCACATATGGCCCTTTGACACTTTTTGTATAGCCTCTTATTCCTTGCCAAGGTGATTACTCAGGCCACTAAAGTAAATTATTCTTTAGACTTGGTTCTAGTAGTTAAATGGCCTGTTTTATATATTTTACACCATCCTAGTTTTTCTTTTCTGTCCATCCATGTTTTTTGGTGTGTTTTTAACCTCTTTTTTGGATCTTGCTGGAACAAACTTGGTCATTTTAATGGTAAATATAAAGCACTGATTTGAGTAGTAAGAGCAGTCTTGTGTATTGTGTCTCCAGTTTATGATTATCTCTTGAAGCATGCTTCCAGTCTCCTCAACTCCTGCCCATAGTATTTTATCATCACCTGTACCATGCCCATAGTCTCTGACCATCTCCTGTACCATGCCCATAGTCTTTGATCATCACCTGTACCATGCCCATAGTCTCTGACCATCTCCTGTACCATGCCCTTAGTCTCTGACCATCTCTTGTACCATACTCATAGTCTCTAACCATCTCCTGTGCCATGCCCATAGTCTTTGATCATCAGCTGTACCATGCCCATAGTCTCTGACCATCTCCTGTACTATGCCCATAGTCTCTGACCATCTCCTGTACCATACTCATAGTCTCTAACCATCTCCTATACCATGCTCATAGTCTTTGACCACCTCCTATACAATGCTTGTAGTCTTTGACCACCTCCTCTACTTTGCCCGTAGTCTTTGACCACCTCCTCTACTATGCCCGTAGTCTCTGACCACCTCTTGTACCATGCTCGTAGTCTCTGACCGTGACCTGTACCATGCTTGTAGACTCTGACCATCTCCTTTACTATGCCTATAGTCTCTGACCATCTTCTGTACTATGCTCATAGTCTCTGGCCACCTCCTGCACCATACATGTAAACTCTGGCCATCTCCTGTACCATGCTTGTAGTCTCTCTCCATCTCCTATACCATGCTCATAGTCTCTGACCATCTCAATCTCAGTCTCAAAGTCTGGACATGGTCATGTGTAAGCATGTTTACAGAAATGTCCTTCAAAACTGTACTTAAAAAGCATCTTGGCTACTAAAGACCTTCCTGTGTTTTAATCAAAATGTGTATTTGTCTCTGAAAGTCTGCTCTAATATTCCTGTCTTGATGACTCAGGTGGCAGAAGCAAAAGCAAAGGCAGACAAAGCTAAACAGAGAGCCCAAGCTACTCTTGAACGTGCTAGTGAGACGCAAGGAAGAGTGGAGCGTTCTAATAAAGAACTGCAGCAGCTTATCCAGCAAATTAAAGACTTTCTGAACCGTAAGAGACTTATACACTTGCCCATTTAAATGATCTTCTAAATAATTGCTGCAATCACATGTGGAGGGTGACCATATACTGATGGATCTCACCTATATATGTTATAGCTAGGAGCTCTGTTCAAGTTCAAATGTCCCTTTATGCATTGACATACCTCCTTAGAGCCAGTCTGTCCATACAAATTCACCTGCTGATTTGGAACCATTCACAGGCAGCTTAACTCTTCAATAGGACTTAGAAGTTTATTCCAACATACACTATATTGCCAAAAGTATTGGGACACCCCTCCAAATCTTTGGATTCAGGTGTTACAATCCCCTCCATGGACACAGGTGTATACAGTCAAGCCCCTAGGCATGCAGACTGCTTCTACAAACATTGGTGAAAGAATGGGTCGCTCTCTGGAGCTCAGTGACTCCAAGCGTGGTCCCGTGATAGGTGGTCACCTGTGCAATAAGTCCATCCGTGACATTTCCTGGCTACTAAATATTCCACAGTCAGCTGTTAGTGGGATTATAACAAAGTGGAAGCAACTGGGAACAACAGCAACTCAGCCACCAAGTGGTAGGCCACACAAAATGACAGAGCGGGGTCAGCGCATGCTGAAGCGCACAGTGCAGAGAAGTCGCCAAATTTCTGCAGAGTCAATAGCTAAAGACCTCCAAACTTGGTGTGACCTTCAGATGAGCACAACAACAGTGCATAGAGAGCTCCATGTAATGGTATTCCCTGGATGAGCAGCTGCATCCAAGACTTACATCACCAAGTGCAATGCAAAGCGTCGGATCCCGTGGTGTAAAGCACGCCGCCACTGGACTGTAGAGCAGTGGAGACGTGTTCTCTGGAGTGACCAATCACGCTTCTCTGTCTGACAATGGATGTCTCTAGATTTGATGATTGCCAGGAGAATGATACTTGCCTGACTGCATTGTGCCAAGTGTAAAGTTTGGTGGAGGGGGGATTATGGTGTGGGGTTTGTTTTTTCAGGGGTTGGGCTTGGCCCCTTAGTTCCAGTGAAGGGAACTCTTAAGGTGTCAGCATACCAAGATATTTTGGACAATTTGTGGGAAGAGTTTGGGGATGGCCCTTTCCTGTTCCAACATGACTGCCCACCAGTGCACAAAGCAAGGGTCATAAAGACATGGAGGAGCCAGTTTGGGGTGGAGGAACTTGACTGGCCTGCACAGAGTCCTGACCTCAACCCCATAGAACACCTTTGGGATGAATTAGAGCGGAGACTGTGAGCCAGGCCTCCTCCCCCGACATCATTGCCTGACCTGACAAATGTGCTTCTGGAAGAATGGTCCAACCTTCCCATAGACACCCTCCTAAACCTTGTGGACGGCCTTCCCAGAAGAGTTGAAGCTGTTATAGCTGCAAAGGGCGGGGCCAACTCAATATTGAACCCTACGGACTAAGACTGGGGGGCCATTAAAGGTCATGTGTGTGGAAAGGGCGGGGCCAACTCAATATTGAACCCTACGGACTAAGACTGGGGGGGCCATTATAGGTCATGTGTGTGGAAAGGCCGGCCAACCAATACTTTTGGCAATATAGTGTCATTTTACTTCAGCTAATTACAGCACAGAAGATGTTTTCCAGTCTTTTAAAGTGTAAGAAGACAATGACATTCCTAAGCCCCATCCCTGCTAAATATTAAAACTGACGGAGGGAACATGGAAGAAATGGGAGGGGTCTAACTAGGACTGAACCAATTGGCTCTAAACAGGAGGAGTAGACTGACCACATTTTGGTGGCCCCAAACCACCACTAGCTGTCAGCATATTACTGAACAATAGAAACCTTATGTTGTTAAATACAACACATAAAAATACATGAAAGTGGGTTGGAACAGTTCATGATTAGAACAACAACAACATAGAAGGCAGAATCACATATCCCCCTCCGGCATCATATGTAAGGCACATTTTGATAAATAGCTGGCATGGATAAACCATAAAGTTAGAGCAGAAGAGGCTCCAGTAACAAAGTGAAACTAAATCAGAGAGGGGCCCAAAAGTTGGATAATAAAGGTAACATCAGCCATTTTGTAGTATCTGGTCTTAGGCAGACCTTACAGTGATATTAAACCCAAACAGTACAATCAGTCTGTAGATGCAGTAAAGCATGCTTGTTATACTCACTGTGGAACCTAAGGGGTTAATCCTCTGCACTGTGTAAAAAGGATGTTTGATCCTGTCTTCTCTGATTCTCCCCTTCTTCCACAGTCCCCAATCCATCTAATGATAGTACAGAGCTCTAGGAGTCACTCTGCACATGCTCAGTTTAGTGTGTATTGCTAGAGAGTTTTTTATTTGAGAGGGTGCATGTGATCAGCACAGGGCCAATCAGAGCTGTCCTGACAGAGGGTCAGGGTCTATGCAGCCTCATAGGACAGTCAGAGCAGACTGTTATATACTGCTGATGAGAAAAGGTATTTAGCAGTTCATATTCACTAAAATAATTGCACTTTCATGTTGTGTGTACTGTGGGAAACCAGATATAGTGAATGCAGGGTCCGGGAAGAGCGGATATAGTGAATGCAGGGTCCGGGGAGACCAGATATAGTGAATGCAGGGTCCGGGGAGACCAGATATAGTGAATGCAGGGTCTGGGGAGACGAGATATATAGTGAATGCATGGTCCGGGAGGCCAGATATAGTGAATGCATGGTCCGGGAGGCCAGATATAGTGAATGCAGGGTCCGGGGAGACCAGATATAGTGAATGCGGGGTCCGGGGAGACCAGATATAATGAATGCGGGGTCCGGGGAGACCAGATATAGTGAATGCAGGGTCTGGGGAGAGTGGATATAGTGAATGCAGAGTTCGGGGAGACTGGATATAGTGAATGCATGGTCCGGGGAGACTGGATATAGTGAATGCATGGTCCGGGGAGACCGGATATAGTGAATGCAGGGTCCGGGGAGACTAGATACAGTGAATACAGGGTACGGGGAGACCAGATAAAGTGAATGCAGGGTACGGGGAGAGCAGATATAGTGAATGCGGGTCCGGGGAGAGAGTGGATATAGTGAATGCGGGGTCCGGGGAGAGAGTGGATATAGTGAATGCAGGGTCCTGAGAGACTGGATATAGTGAATGCAGGGTCTGGGGAGAGTGGATATAGTGAATGCAGGATCCGGGGAGACCGGATATAGTGAATGCAGGGTCCGGGGAGACCGGATATAGTGAATGCAGGGTCCGGGGAGAGCGGATATAGTGAATGCAGGGTCCGGGGAGAGCGGATATAGTGAATGCAGGGTCCGGGGAGAGCGGATATAGTGAATGCAGGGTCCGGGGAGACCAGATATAGTGAATGCAGGGTCCGGGGAGACCAGATATAGTGAATGCAGGGTCCGGGGAGAGCGGATATAGTGAATGCAGGGTCCTGGGTTAAGTAAAACTATAAATCGAAAATATTAAAAAAGAGCACAATGTAAGAACCTACAGAAAGCGACTTTCATGTATCATGTCTGTGTATTGTGTGATCAGAGGATGGAGCTGACCCAGACAGCATTGAGATCGTGGCGAGCCGAGTCCTGGAACTCTCCATTCCCGCCACTCCACACAGCAGATCCAGCGGCTTGCAGCAGAGATCAAGGATCGAGTGAACGCCCTGTCCAACGTTGATGCAATTTTGGATCACACGGCCGCTGATGTTCGCAGGGCTGAACAAATATTAAACGAAGCTAAGCGAGCCAAGTAAGTGAGGGCTTGGCTTGTATGTAAAGCCGATCATACCCATTACAGTGTAGTGGTAGTAAATCTGTACAATCTCCTTTAAATTCCCATTGTAAAATCCTCCCTGAAAATTCAGTTTAATTTCTCTCCAATCACACAGACTCATCAATAGTTTTATTTTCTAGGAACCGTGCTGAGAATGTAAAGAGTACAGCGGAGTCTGTGAAGAAAGCTTTGGAAGATGCCAAGAAAGCTCAAAATGCTGCCGAGGGAGCCATCCAAAGTGCCAACGATGACATTAGGGACACAGAGACAACACTAACAGCGGTAAACCTGCATGAGGATTTATTTAGCTTGAACAGTAAGATTATCCAAGAACATAGTATTATGTTAGTACCAGGGGTGGACTGACCATTTGGAAACTTGGGCACTGCCCGAGGGCTCGGGGTCTATAAGGGGCCCCATGAGATGCCCCTGGTACCTTTCATAGGCTTTTTTGGGTATGGTTTGAGTGTGGGCTAGGACACAGGGGACCCATGATCCCCTATTGCCCGGGGGCCCCATGAGTTGTCAGTCCACCCCTGGTTATTACCTATAGCACTGGCCATACACATAGAATTCTGATTATTCGATGTTAACCCCTTGCCCTCCAGGGGATTTTTATAAGTGGCCCTGTCGCGACAGGGTCACTTTAATTGCAGTCGGAATCAAATGCATAATCTGTTATTTTCAATCAACCAATGGGCAATGGAGCAGATAAAAAACCCTGTTCAATTGATAAATGATAGGCTGCTTTCAGCATCCCTTTAATCGCTTTTGATATAGTTATCACAGTAACATTCATAAATTGGTTGAGAGCCATAGAAATTTTCCTGAAAATTGTTACATGTATGGTAGGCATAACACTGGCCATATGAAGATGGAGACAATCAGATTAGTTGCATCATTTGAGTCAATCAAAGGAAGGGTGATCCGTGTAATATTCAGTCCAACAGCCCAGTCTACCAAGAAAACAACTGGGGAACCCTTTCAATTCCATGATTTGTACACTCCTTTGTTATAAATCTAGAGAGCTCATTTCAAGTAACCAACCAGAATTCATCTTCCACTTGTACGGTTACAATTAAACCGTCACCTCATTACTCCTCTGCGGTGAATTTCTTTGTATCCTTTGTCAATTGAATGGATCTTCTGTATCGTCACTTTAGATCCAGTTAGAGACCTCAACCGCTGAGAATCGCCTGAATGAAGCTATGGATCGAGTGAATGATCTGGATAAACAAATTGATGCCCTTAAAGTGAAGAGGGCAGGGAACAGCTTGGCAGCCACTCGAGCAGAGGAGACAGCTAACGGGGCACTCGATAAAGCCAATGAGGCAAAGAAGGTGAGATTTGCATTGGGCCTATGGGAGTACGCCATTGATCCATCATTTTGGATTTGCTAGACTTCTTGTCAACTGGCTACATTTCAAAGGGCCACCCCCTACAAAATCAATATTCAGTTATATACAGGAATTGTGTGCTGCAGTCTTGGGGACTCTGGTATTAAGCACCTCTGGCCATAGTTCCTGGAAGTGTCCTTGTCTCTCTTGAAGCTCAAGGTGGTCCTGCTAAGTTAAGATGTGCCCACTCTTTCTGTTGCATTAAAAATGACTGTTCTTGATTATATGCATTTATACTGCATTTGTGTTCTTTTAGGTGCTGGATGGACAGCTTGGAGATAAATATAAAATGGTACGGAACTTTGTTGAACACAAAGCCAAAAACATAAAAGATGCCAAGAATAAAGCAGACCAGCTGAGGGAGGAAGCAAAGCAGCTTCTGGGCAATGCTCAAGACAAGCTGAAGAAGCTTCAAGGTATGTCTATTCAAAATAGTTCACCTGCTTCTATTACAGAGAGACATTTAATTCCTTTCACCAGGACCTGAAGCTGACGTTACATACTTAGTCTAGTACTGCACCCCATTCAATCCTCTAAAATAGGGGTAGGCAACCTGCGGCTCTAAGGCTGTTGTGGAACTACATTTCCCATGAGGCATTGCAACATTACAAAACTGACAGTTACAGCCAGGGGCGGACTGACAACTCATGGGGCCCCCGGGCAATAGGGGATCATGGGCCCCCTGTGTCCTTGCCCAAACTGAAAAAAGCCTATGAAAAAGATACCAGGGGCATCTCATGGGGCCCCCTACTGACCCCGGGCCCTCGGGCAGTGCCCGAGTTTCCAAATGGTCAGTCCACCCTTGGTTACAGCTATGACTTGCAGAGGCATGATAGAACTTGTGGTCCTGCAACAGCTGGAGAGCCGTAGGTTGCCTACCCCTGCTCTAAAATGACAGTTTATGAGTTTGTTATATACCGTATACAAGGCTGGTGCTTCCACTAGACAAACTAGATGATTGCCTAGGGTGCACTGCCACCTAGGGGCGCCTGGGCGCAGCACAAGCTGGCAGTCTCTCTGTGTGGGGTGCCGCTACATCATGAATGATCCTCCAGCTGAGGGGAGAGGCGGCAGGGGGGAGGAAGAAAGGACAGAGGAAGATACCGGGTGTCTGTGGCCATTGTAGCAGCTGAGCTGCTGCTCCTTCCAGTGTTCCTCTCAGACTCAGTCCCTTACTGCAAGCCAGCTGGCAGCTGCTGATCACTATGGAGTTCCAGCCCTTCTCTTCCCATTCATCAGGGGAGGCGGATCTGCGCCTGCGGAGGAAGGTAATGTCTGGCTCCGATATCTTGTGTCTATGTGAGTGTGACCCAGCCAGCGGGCCATCCATCACATGTGCAATGTGTCAGTGAGTGAGGACATCATCACAATCCCAACACCTGCTCTTCTAGTGCCTGCTGGGCCTGCTGATCTGTGTCAGTGTTGGTGTGTTGTGTCGGATCTGTCACTGTGTGGGATCGCTCAGTTCAGGTGTTCTCTGTGTGTGTGTGGGCTGGGCTGCCTGCTGTCACAGCATTTTACCTCCCCCCCAATTGCCTGAGGAATTCCAGCCTGGGATCTGTCAGAGTGTGGATCCATCATCCTCCACTCACTGCAACTGTCACCCTGCCACTGCCAGCCACAGATACAGTCCATCCGGGACACTGATTTTGTCTTTAATTGGTGCTGGTGGCATCTTATGGCACTTATTTTTGCAAATTAAAAGAAATGTAACAGTTTCATGTTTTGTTGATTTCATATTTTGTACAGTTTTTAAATTGTTTTTTTTTCCGGGGAGGGGGGGGCACAAGACGCTGGTCTTGCTTAGGGTGCAAAATAGTCTAGCACCAGCCCTGACTGTTTAAAAGTATAACTGTATTGCCACCCCATCCCTTTAAAACCGAACACATATGAACTACACAGCTTTTATGACTAATTTAGTGCACAAAAGGCACTGAGTGAGTTTAATTACCTCCTTAGTCAGCCACAGAACCTGTGTATTGAATGTGTTCAGTTTTAAAGTTATGAGGTGGCAACCCTAATAACAGGGTTTCTCAGAGGTTGACAAGGATTCCTTGAGCAATGAGCAATTTCTGCCTCTCAAATAATTTTCCACTGACACCATTGATCTTTTTTATATATCTGTAAGGGGGTAATTGTTCCCAATGATCACAAGGATAAGGAGCATTCTTCCCACTGACCGTCACACTAATCTATCCTGACTTGTAGTTATAGTAAATTTTAGCAGGGGTTCCCTAAGAACAGAAAAGTATTTCAAGGGTTCCCCTGTGTTGAAAAGGTTGAGAAATGCTGCTGTATAAGAAGCAAAAAGTAGAGCCCTTTAGAAACATTAAGGGGGTTATTTACTAAAACTGGAGAGTGCAAAATCAGGCTCACTTTTGCATAGAAACCAATCAACTTCTAACCTCGGCTTGTTCAATTAGGCTTTGGCAATAAAACCTGGAAGCTGACTGGTTTCTATGCAAAAGTGAGCTTGATTTTTCAGTCTCCATCTTTAGTAAATAAACCCCCTAGGTGTCAAAATGTATCTCTTTTATAACAAACCACAAAGAAAAGGGTTTTCCTCCTCATTTTAGGATAGTGAGTGTAGACGTACAGATCCTTTTTTTAGTTATATCCATTACATGCTTCCATTGATGGCAATTAGCAAGCACACAGGGATCTCTGCACTTACACTACGTGACCAAAGGTTTGTGGACATCTACCCCCCCACACACACACACACAAAACACACCTATATGAGCTTCCTGGGTATCCTATTTTAAAACCATGGCCATCGATATGGAGTTGCCCCCTCCATTTGTGGC